GGTTCTAAGAAGCTCTTCAAAATGTAAAATTATAGGCACTTGAAACTGTCCTTTTATATTCTGTATTCAATTATTTTGCTTTCACTGGCTCTCATGGAAGAGAAAGAGAGGCATGACTGAGGCTGGAAGACTAGCAGAGAAGAGATGAGGAAAGCACAGTCCTGTTCTTTGTTGCACCCCTTTGCTATAGAAAACTCACTGCTTCTTTTGCAAACTTGAGAGAGGTCAAAAAATAAGAACAAATGTGACCCCTAGAAAATAATCTCTTTCATCCCTCTTGCTCTGCTAAGGATACACTTCTTGTCTTGCAAATGGAGCCATTTGACAATCATTGCTCTCAGTGTCTGGTTAAGCTTCATCTTTGGTTCTAACAACTAGTGCACTTTTGACCTCCCTGTGCTGTCGTAGACATACAGTGGCAAAAAAGGTCAAGGAAGAACTTTTCCACAAAGATTATAGTCTGGCAAACCTTTTCCTCTGGGCAGCCTTAGAACATGGATATTGGCCTTATTGGCCTGATTTTAAGGAAATTCCAGGTTGCTGCAGTGCAAGCAAAGACTGTCTCTCTTCTACTGTTGCTGCAGAGCCCCACACTAGTCCCCTTTCTGACACACACTTTTCTTTACACTTTCTTCCATGTATTTATGGTCAGCTTTCTGTGCCTTTCAAAAGGGAGGGGAATAAGAGATTTTTGTTCTCTGCAAAAATATGGGCTTGTCTAGCCATGGTGAGAGCAAAGGGGCCAGCAGTGACTGGGACAAGAAAACTAAGTGCACTTTTTGGAATTAATAAATTGTTCTTCTGCCCAGAGTTTATATACAAGCTCTAGAAATACACAGAGTAATAAATATTAAAAAAAATAAAGCTTCTGTTTTTACACTAATAAAAATGAAGCCTTTCAGAAATGACTTATATAAATACTCTTAATTCTTAGGTTTTAAAACAAGTTAATAGTGCAATAACTATTTCATTTTTATCTTAAAAAATATTAAAATCTTGGTCTTGCACAAGTGGCCAGAAATTGAAATCAAGGCACTAGCCTATTATCTAATCTAGAACTACTGGAAAGATCCACTTAAAGATATTTTACTGCAATTGTTTCTTTTTTTTCATGTTTATATTTTAATATACATGGTATGCTACAAATAAACTTGGTGTCTGTCATTAGCCAGTACTAAAGGGCAATTTGTCATGTGTTATTACGGTGTGCATTTAGCAGCTTGAATTGTAAAAAGGATCTAAATTCTGCAAAATCTAGTGTTGGCAGCAATGATCATGAATTGCAATACAAATTAAAATATATAGCTAGTTAATGTATTATATAATTTATAAATTTCTTTAGGCTGTAGGAATATACTTATATATTATTATATTATTATATATTTATATTTCCTTTTTCCAAAATACTTACAACAGTAGAAAGTAAAGATTTAATTATTAAATAAATAGTTTTAAACTCCTATTTCCAACTGGACCTTGAAATAGATTTCTATGTCTAGAATGAGATAATTGAGATAATGAAAAATATTAAGTAATATGCCAACATCATAGCAAGCTTACCACACTTTAAATGTTAGAATGCTACTTAGCCAAAAGTATTTGGCTTTGACAGATGATGAAGTATAGTCTGGATGAAACTACTATAGCATGAGGAAATCACTATGCCTTTTTAAAGCAGGCAAAATTTTGTACTAAGCAAAGGCACTGCAATACTTCTTTGTCATTTGCCACACTTCAAACAGGTGCTGGCCACCTTATTCTTTAGGCAGATTCATCCAACTTCATTAGCACTTTTATGGCTTCCAATTAGTTGTTTCTGGTTTTCACCTATGTAATGGAAAGTTACCTTGCATAAAGACTGGCTCTTTATGGGGCCACTGTGGTGGGTTTTACATCATAACAGTACTGCCTTTTTAAGCAACTGTATCTTAGTCTCATCCAGTTCCCATATTGTATCTTGTGTCACCACTTATTTATTTATATACTGCTTTTCCTTAGTGTATAGAAGACCTCACTATCCAGCTTCCACTTTCCAACACTGCAGAAGAAGAAATACTCGAGGATCTTTTCCCCCCTTTTCATTCTAACCATGTTCTCTGTGTTGAGAACAGAATTTCCTAATACGCAAAACAAATCATGAGAGTCTGGAGCCTGATTTATGGTGTAGGCATTACTAGTAGATAAAGTAGCAAGAGCTCCTTTTTCAGAACCACTATTTAGGGATCCTTGTGTAGGAACAGCTTGGCTTCTGTTCACCAAGATTGTCACAATGGAATTCCACTTATGGACTTCAGACCTATCTTTAAAAGTGGATGGGCATAAATGGAATAACTTTATACTATGTAAGTTTGCTTCTTTTTAAAATTTGGCTGATGAGAAATATAGAATTTTTATTTGAGAGAAGGTGTACAGGGGAAGTTTTGGGGGTTGTTTGTTTTTACCTTTTAATAACAAACAGATATTCTCCCAAAAACTACTGTATTGTCACCTCTAGTGCAAGGCAAAAATAACTATATAGTCACAAAAGAAGGACTGGGGAAAATTACTCAAATTATATGTTCATTTAAATGTTTTGGTGTGTTGTCTCATTGGTAATGAAGCATAAGATAAGGACATTTTTATCCAAACTGATGTTTTAGCAAATAATATTGTAAAGACGGTATATTTATGGGTTAGTTTGTAGATTCAAGTGTACAATTCAATAATTGGAGACATTGCAGTAGTTCTTGTAGCCCACACCTACCTTGAGAAATGTTTTCCTTTGTTGTGCAGAAGCCACACCAAATCACTCTACTCCATGTGCTGACTTATATACATCACTTATAAAATTCCACTTTCCAAGGAACTGATCTGTCATTTCATTTTTTCCTATTGAAGACTGTCAGCTGCCATTCACCAGGGTGTCTGGGAAGTTTCTCTCACATTTTTAAGCCTTTGTTTTCCTGCTCAACACACATATTCAGTGCTGAAAGTCAAGATTTTCCCCAGAGGCCCATTTTTCCACAGCACCAGATCTCTATGTGTTTGTGGCAGACACTAAATAACTGCAGTTCTAATACCTCTAAAAATGTCATGTCAAACTTCTTTTTAGAAGAGCTGGATGAAATCTCAGCTCCTGTTCACAGAAGCCAGGGTTCAGCTGCAGATCTGTTTTGATGACATCTCAGCCTCTGTTCACAGGTGCCAGTTGAAGAAGGTGAGACAGGGCAAATCAAGAACATTGTTCTGGCAGTGCAAGAGTGATAGGAAGTATGTTCCTGAATTTTTTGTCTTTGCATAAGCTTCATGAGTATATAATAAAAAATAATTATTAGAATGTAGATTTCTAAAATTAACATAAACTTTCATGATATCATTATTTTAATTTTATGAAGCTTAAGACATACTTTGAGATATATTTCCTTAGTGTGTTTACTGTCACAGTAAGAATCAGTAAAGATAAATACTGTTGATTATGATTGAAAAAACATTAAAAAATTATTTTAGTCTATACCATATTCTAAAAGAACCACTTGAATATTTATGTGAGGATATATAAGCTGGCTTGCTGTTGAAACGATATAGTTTTTTTCAAAGAAAAACTTTTAATTAAGAATTCCAGTTGCATGCAAAACACAATTTCTCTCCAGACTCATGAAGTAAAAGCCCTGGTACAGAATTGTCTTCAATGAAAAAAAAGCATATTATTGCCTAAAACTTTGAAAGTACCATGAAAGTCTAAGTCTTATTATTATCAGTGTATCACCTCAAACATGTTGTTGTAAATGTCATTATATCAGATGAGTTTGAAAACAGTTTTCCATTTTGCACTTTATTTGACAAGGTGATTCACTGTGTAGAGCAGTTTAAGATGTCAGTCCCTGTGGAAAGAATTGAGTTGTACTGACATTCTCATGCGCATTCCTCCATCAAAGTATGTGATTAAAGAAGGGGTATTCTTCTGAAATATTGTTACCCAACTGGCCTGAAATATGAGGGTTTTCTTTATTGAAATATAATTTATCACGGTCAACTCTTTCTAACTAAACATGTATATGTTAAATACAACATATGAAAAGCTGGTTATAATTATCCACAAAATCATATTTGTGATAAGTTTTTATGCTGCAACACAATGGTTTGTCAAGGAATTAAAATAATTTGGTTTTGACACCACATCTTCATTTTAAACAGTGGAATGATGAGTAAGGAAAAGATACCCAGACATTTTCTATTTTTTATGTGCCTTGAGTGTGTCGTTGGCTCATTTTTGATTGCCTCAGTGAAAGTATTTTTCCATCTTGCTTTAGCCATTTGTGCATTGAATTTGGAAAATTTCCCCTGTCCTTTCAGCAGACAACAGATTTCATAATAGAGAATTAAGTTTGCTCTCTACTGCCATTCATTTGGACTAACCTCCTCTCTTGACACAGCTGCCCATTCTATATTTACACTCCTTTACAATCTCATTAAGCTATTTGACTCAATAATTTAATGACAAGATGAAATTCCATACATTAATTCTATATCATGTGAAGGAGTATAGTGTCTCCTTCCATCATGTCTGAATTCACTATCAGTGCATTTCCATGAGTGACTTGTTATTATATGGCTAGGAGAAGAAAAAAATAGATTTTTCTTAACCAAATCATTCATTATTTTGAATGCTATCAAGTCTATTATGTAACAAAATGCTATAAAATAGTTATAGATATACACTATATAACTTTCCTTCTCACTCTCTTTCCATCCTTTCCTTTCCTTTCCTTTCCTTTCCTTTCCTTTCCTTTCCTTTCCTTTCCTTTCCTTTCCTTTCCTTTCCTTTCCTTTCCTTTCCTTTCCTTTCCTTTCCTTTCCTTTCCTTTCCTTTCCTTTCCTTTCCTTTCCTTTCCTTTCCTTTCCTTTCCTTTCCTTCCTTTCCTTTCCTTTCCTTTCCTTTCCTTTCCTTTCCTTTCCTTTCCTTTCCTTTCCTTTCCTTTCCTTTCCTTTCCTTTCCTTTCCTTTCCTTTCCTTTCCTTTCCTTTCCTTTCCTTTCCTTTCCTTTCTCATATATTTTACTTCTACACAGGCACCATTTACATTTCTAGATGCAGTATATGGTATGGCTGAGAATTAAGCTGCTGGTACACTTGCTGCCTTTGTCTTACAATCTTACTGTGGCCATAAAGAGTGGTGAGTAGCACAAAAATATGTACTAACAAGTTACAATTTGACTTCTCTCACAGCTGACAATAATTACTAAGAACACATCCCTCCCCCTCCAAAGAAATCACACAAATACCGCTCCCCCTCTGAAAAGAAACTTCCTCTTCAACACCCTCTGTTTAATGCAATCAAATGTTAATTAACTGACAATGGTACACCTGATTGATATGCTTGGCATAACTGAACAGCAGATTCAGAAAAATGAGTATTCATGAATAGTATCACTTTACACTTTCAATAACAAGTCTAGCAATAGAGATAAATCTCTTTCAAAACAGTGTATGCTCCTATTATTCTACAAATACTTTAACCAAAGCTAGTTCCCATCAGCCATCCTTGAAGCTCCACCTCCTCCTCTGCTTCTCTCTTCTTTTTCTTTTATCAACCAGAATGACAATTGCTGATCTGAATCCTCCCTCCAGTCTACTTGGCACAGCTTCAGTATCATGCATCTCCAGGAATATTTGTACTCTAAAACTACTGAGTTGTACAATTCTAAGTTTATGTTTTAACTTAGCTAATCCCCACACTCTCCAGAAAGAAAATAATGCTGCTTGCTATTGCAAAGCAAAATCTATTTTTAAAGCACCAAAGCACTTAGAATTCCTCTTGCCAGCCACTTTGTCTTTACTCCAAGCCACTATGGATCTGGTGCCACTTGCCCACCTTTTAAAGCATTACCTTTAAATTCTCTATTACAAAGGTAAGTTGCAAACCCTTAACTTCCTTCCTGAGCTGTGCAATATGAGAAGGTAGGAGTGGAGAAATGTTCAGCTTGGAAGATCAAGGGATAAGAAGCAGGAATATATACAATGAGCAGCAGGGTATGAGAAACATTTACGTTGTCATTTTAGGCAAACTCCTTACAGAAAAGCTTTCTTTAGTAGTCATATTAATAGTGGAAAATTAGCTCTATGTGCACGGGAAGCGTTTTAAAGGCTTTGCCTCCACAAAATATGGCCAAAAGCAGCACTGATCGGCTCAGGTGGCACAGACAGCAACCCAACAGAAATATGGCATCGGGGTTTTTTTGATTCATGCAACCATTTCAACCACTGACATTTCTGTAACCTTTTCAGCACTTTGAAAAGCCCTGCTTTGAGGTAAGTAAAGCAAAAACTGTAGAGATTTCTCTAACATCATTGTGTCAGGATAAATAATGATCAGTTAATAGAAGTATAATAATGCTACTTAACTTGGAATATTCTTGATTAAACTACTGGCAGGGACTACTAGGATTTACAGAGTGACTGCTTTTTTTGTTTTCTTTTCCTTTTATATTTTTTTGTCTGCCATTGTGTGTTATTTAAAATCTGCTTGCTAAAATTTCTTTTTAAAGCTTGTTAGAGGCAGATGTTTCTCAGCCCAAATTTGGTCCACATCCTTATGAAGAAACAACAAAACCCATGGCCTTCAAAGTGAATTCTATGTTCAGGTTTTTTATTCAAGAGATACAGAGCAGAAATTCAGGTATATATGCACCATAGCCTGTATGAGAAATTGACATACCACTTTGCCTAAGGTCATGTTATTTTCAGTACTACTTATCTCCCCATGAAAAAAGGAAAATATTTGGAATATATGGTTGATGTTCACTAGAAGTTCTTCCAAAGTCGGAATTTTTTTTCATTCTGTAAATTAAGTGCATTAAGAATGGTTTGTCTTTTTCACTATTTCTTGAAATCTTTTCAAATATGCCTTTCCCTGTCACTCTCATAATGTTTGGAAAATGCTACAACTAGATCCTTGCTGCATTCAAAACACCCTTACAGTAATTGCAAGAAAGAAAAATGTTTAAAATATTTCATATGTTTTAAAAATTATTTTCCCTCCACTTCCAGAATGCCACAGAGACATGGGCTCAACATAAGGCAGAGGTAAAAATATTTACTTACCTAACTGTTCTTTTCATACCATATTTAATTTAATTTAAACCATTATATAATTCTATAATTCTTGTAAATTTTAATAACTAGTTTGACAATAACTATGTTATCACAGTAGTATTTGTAATCTAAAATTACTGATTTATACAACGCTAACTTCAGTTTTAACTTAGCTTATTTCTCCACTCAGCAGAAATAAAGTAATATTGCTTTCTAGTGCAAAGAAAAATCCATTTTTAAAGCACTGAAGCACTTAGAATTCCTCTAGTACACAGACTTAAGTGATGCCATAAGTAAGGCATAGTCCTTAAAACATTTCTAATATCAGAGATAAACATGTATTTACTGAGCAAACAGTGGTCATATGAAAAATGTAAGCTTTTCAGGTTGGTAGAAATGGCATAAAAGACAGGGCAACTCTGAAAAATCAGACACACAGCACTGAAGGCAATAGATCAGATGTCATTTGTTGGCCGAAACGCCTCTCAAAGTGATGCTATTATTAGGAATAAGTTTGTTATAACTTGTCAGTGGAGGAGATTGACTTGGCTAAGAACTTGACATCCTTGTTAATCCTCTTGAGCCAAGTACGGTCTGGCCTAAACATTAATAACCCCTCTTCTGTGCACAATAGCACAGAAAAATTTACAACATTGTTCCCAGTATCTTCTGGCCAAATAAAAAAGGCAAAAGCAGCCCTCTTAGCAGATACATGTTATTCAAAATATGTTGTTTTCATCAACACAGGGGAATTGCAATGAAATGCTAAAATATGTGCTGTGGAAGGCTATGTCCTCTGTGCTTCCCGTTTCCAAGGAGGAAGGTCAAGATGTTGCCTAAATGATAGCAACTCTTTATTTGAGTTTATTGCAAACCAAACGGGAACAATTTGAGAATATTTTCGTGTGTTTTCATGCTGATGTCTACACATGTATACAACGAACAGTACAAACAATTGTAAGAACATGGAGACACCACCTGACTTTCTTACCAGTACAGTGGTACAGTTGCAGTGTATCACTAAAAAACTTTTACTTACCTCTGGAAAAATGCAAACCATTAAGTAGGAAAAACTGGGGACATGGCTTAGAAGGCTATCCATATTTAAAACTAATGCGATTGGAAAAAACATTTTAAACTGTAGTCCCAGGCATGTATTTTAGCACTAGTGTTAGCATGCATTCCCTTTGCTTAGAGCTGGAGAGCTCTGGGAGAAATGTGAAGTAGGCAGGAAAAGGAGAACCGTGTGTCAGGGCCATTGCTGTCAAATGGCCTCCTCACACACTGCAGATGTTGCTCAAGCATGAGCCAGGGAGTGTGTGGAATAAAAAGCAGCCTGTGGAACTTTAGTAGAGAATAAATTCTGCAGAAAGCTTGCAGTGTTCCTCTCTGCCACAAAAGAATTTCACAAGCAGGAGTGAGGTCTATACAGGACTCTCTACATGGGCTGATCTTAAGGTACTCTTGGTATATAAACATTAGTTTTAAATCGTACCAATATTTTCCTTTAGGAAATTCCAAGAAGGTCCAGCATAATATGGCCATAAGCATGACTTACACTAAGAGAGGAAACAGTCCTGTGCAATATATATAATATCAGTGTTTCACTTTGAAATAATTTTTTATTGACAACAAAGTCAATTTTGAGAATAAAAATTGTAAAAGGGTAAATTTTCTAGCCAAAAAAACCCCTAAAAATGGTAACTTTATCTCATGAGACCAAATAATATAGATCTGAGATCTATATAGTCAAATTAAAATGTTCCAATCTCTCAGAGAGGAACCACAGAAATTTGAGTTGTGGCCATATATTATTCCAGATATTGTATGATGAATATGTGGTTTATTGATTTGACAAGTAATACAGTTTTCCCCCAGGAAAAAAGTGAATTTGTGGCAAATGGTCTAATAGAATGGTACAAGTAATTGATGGAGTTATGCACAATCTGTTGGGTGAGATGAAAGATCTGAAAAGCCTCTGAATTATTAGTTTTCCTGTTGTCACAGTGCAAGATGTGCCTATAGTCAAAGTAAGTTTAAAAAAAAAAATATAGCATAAGCTAGAAAATACTAGGGTGAAAAGAAGAATAATTATTAACTCAATTCCTTTGTCAAGATAATTTAAAAATCATGGTTGAGGAAGCTCATAAATAAACACAATTGTCACTGCAAAAATTTTGCTAAAAATAAGGAGTTATATTTTGAATTACCTTTTTTGTATACATATAGCTTTAAAATATTTAAAATATAATAAAGTGGTCTTTAGCTATATAGTTATACATTTTAGGTAATTACCAGTTAACTTGTTAGACTTGTAACTGATAAAAGATATGCACGTGCAGAAATCTCTACAGATTCAAAAGGTTCAGATAATAAATAGTTGTTCTTATTTATACTTAGAGATAAGCATTGTTACTGCTGCCCTACAAACCTCATAGCTTGCTTAAGGCTACACTGTGTAAATTGAGAGACAATTTCCCTCTTGCAGTAATAGGAAGCTGTTAACACTTTGGAAAACATGAGATTGTCCTTAAATACCTGTTACTTCAGTTTTGCATGAATATGACTTCTGGTCAGTGTAGCTTCTCTCTGCTTGTAGCTAAGCTTGTCAAACTGATGTCCATGTTTTAAAGGAGGAACGTTGAAGCTTTTTGTAAAAACGCTTATATAGCTGGAAATAAAATGATTAAAGGTGGCGTCAGGAGCATTACTTGCCTTAAATTTCCTGACATTCCTTCCCAATAGTGTTTTTGGGAGATGAATGCCATGTTTGCAGAGTTAACTTATAAATCTGGCTGGCTGGCTTTTTTTGGCCACTCAATATCATTTTAGCAAAAGACAAAAGCACTTGAAATGTACAGTCTGAGTCATCAAAAGCCAACTGCTAGAGTGTCTAGATAGAGCTGATTCAATATGATTATGTAAATTAATGAAATTTTAGGAATTGGACAACAAATTGTTGCTGATAAACAATGAAAAGATCTGCTATAGAATACTATATGAGATACTAAATATTTGTGTCTCCTTGTTTGGCCCAAAAGAACTACAGAATCTTTAATGACAAAGTTCTTTACCTCTGACTTAGATAATACAAATCTTCACCAGTTAAAGAGTTCCACATCTCTAAGGAATATTTGCAAAGAAAACCATATTCTTAGGAATTTTGATAAAGCATTCTGTGCTTGGAACGCAGGTAAGACAGATCACCAATTCTGCTTTGTTTTCCCCAATAAACTATGTTTATTATGCCGATTCTAATTACCATGCAATCTAATGGTTTTAAGGCTTATAATTTCCACATCACTGGACATCACAAACATGAAAGCATTTTATACTGTCATTATACATCAATGTTTGCAGTTGGTTATACATATATACAGAAATTATTCACACATCTCAACCTTGCTATTTCCTCCTTTCAAACCAACATAATTTTACTGTGAAAGCAGCTTTTTAATAAATGGTATAAGAAATACAGCAAGGCACACATTTTTTAAAAACTTTTTTTTCTCATTACCACCTCAAGAAGCATAAAAACCCAAAATGTTATACTTAATTCAGTAGAATGTCAACAGTTTCTAATATACAACACTATGTAGTTGTTTCTTGAAGTGTTGCATAGATTAAATTTTTAAATTAAATAAATAAAATGTCATTTATTTAAATTGCTTAATTTTTAGATATATTTAATCAGGAGGACCAATGACTTCTTTTTGCTGCAATCCAACAAAGTAGTCACTTTAAAAGCAAAATAGTTTCAATAAACTTATGCATTATACAGATAAATATTAAATTTGATACATAAAATAGAAGAGTACTGACAGGTACAATTCTGAAAAGATTAATCAGACTGACCATGAATTCTATAGTACTTTAAAGAACAGAACCAGTGGTAAGTAGTACAGGAGCATCCAATTTAGGAAGGAGAGGTCATTAGAGGTAGCTTGGGAGAGGAATCCATATGAAGGCAAATGGCCTCGCTACAAAACAAAATGATCACTAAAATAGGACTAGCATATGCAGCCTGACCACAAAGCCAACATGGACAAACCACATTTGGAAAAAAAATTTATCTCGGGAGTCAGTTTAATGAAGGGCAGTGATACAATGGAATTGGAGGTCATCCCAGGGTTTACAGGATGAACCTGCACCTGAATTGCAGCCAAGTTTCTAAAAGGAAACAGAAAAGTAATAGCAGGTTACATAAAATGAAGTTTTATTTGCAAAACATAGGTTTTCCAGAACAATAATAGATAGCCATTAAATGGTCACATGCCAGAGTCTTTAATGCAGAAGCATACAGTAGGCAAAAAATGACTTTTAACAGCCTGAGGTACAAGTTAGTGTGAAAAAATGAATCAATGTAGAAAAGTCACTGATTTTCATAAAACTTCGCTTCTAAAGAAACAAGGGTATCCATCACATTGGATCTTTTCCCTGGATCTTGTCCTCATCTTTACCTGTGAACTTACCTCCAACATACAGAAGTGCACCAACCAATGAAAACATGGAAATTTTCAAAAGTCAAGCAACAAAAAGATCAATCCAACAATTACTTTAATATTTGTGCAAACATATATAGTGAGACATCAATGGAGAAGAGGAAAAGACTGTCACAGATGTGGTCTGTGAATAGAATTTTCAGTATCATCACTGCATTTTAAAGTTGTAAATAACTAATTAGACACTTCTAATACCAGCAATGAGTTAAATTTGCCTCCTATAGAATTATCCAGCTCAGTTTAGGGTTAAAATATTCAGCAAAGAGCATGGGCTTATGATGAGAATCATGAAGAAATAACTGTCAGAATACAGCTCAAAGATTAGTGCAAAGTACATCTCATAGGCATTTCCTACGACGCACTGCAGACATGCATTATGTGCCTTCCAAGTTAAGCAGGAATATCTGGATCCATCCAGTTACCATCTCCTTTGATCTTCTTTGTTGTAACTGACCACATCCCTCCCCATTTATACAAGAAATACTCTTACTTGAAAATATTGAAAAGCTCAACCGTCTGTTTAGATATTAATGAAGAACTGATCTGAAAAAGCAGAAGATTGTATCAAAAGGTACAATTCTGGCATGATAAGAAAAGTCTCACTGATGGATTTTTCAAAAATTATGTAATTCGTAGATTTCAATACAAGATTCTCTGTTCATTTAGCTTTTTTAAAGTCAGGTAATGTAAGGGGCTAAAAAGTCAGACTGTTCTAAACTCTATAAAGAGACTTTATATTATTTACTTCCCTATAAAAATCTCTAGAAAAAAAAAAGTAAGCAAAAATTTAGATTTTTATATTATTGTAATTCCAGGCTCTAAAAGTAAATTATTGTATATTAACTATTATGTAAACTTGGGGTTTTTTCTCCTGTAGTAAATAAATAACTAACAGTCCTTTGCATTTATGTACCGTCTTTTATCTGTGGATCTCAAAATACTTTTATGTAAATAAGCTACACTTCATAGGTCTCACTGATCATTAGTCTCATTATTTTGTTGTTAAAAAAAAATGAGACAAGGAAGGAAAAAGCCATACAAAATATCTATTGCTGAGCAGGAAATAACAGTCAGGTGCTTCGAGCACCAGTGCTGGGCTTCTTCTGGTGATAGTAAGTGGCAGAATATTCTATCTAATATTGCAGTACTGTCAGATTAAATCAATTTCATTTTCTTAAGTGCAAGTAAATTATTTTCCCCCTAAATTAAGTTAAAACTTAAATTTAAAATACAGAAATAAGGAAATAGCTTTTGTATTTACTTGTAAGAACTAACAGATTACACACAGAATTCTAAGGCTTAATCTAGAAAATACTTTGGATAGAACACATTCATGTCCTGAATGTATTGATCTCTATGCATATTGAATTTTTAACTAAAAGTTCCCATCCCATTGGTGAGTCATGGGTCACAGTGACAGCAGATCACATGACTCATGTACAGCTAGATCTTTCAAGGTGACCCCTAACTGAGAAATAAAAACAGTGCAGCTTTATGAGTACCTCTGCTGAAGAACTCTGTGTCGGCTCATGTGAAAGAGTAGTCAATGTTGTCGAAGATATTTTTGAGCCTGCCCATATTATTATTATTATAATTTTTCCACAATGGTCTTTTTCTTTTTTTTTTTTTTTTTTTTTTTTTTTTTTTTTTTTTTTTTTAGCACACTGTTAAACAACAGGATTGGAATATTTGACAAAAATATTTATTGACTATTAGTCTTATTCTCCTGTAAAGCCAGGGTAAATACTAAAACAGTACAAAATCAACCTACCTTTGAAACCATGCCTTTTTCAGCTTTGAATTCTCAGTATGCTCTTAAGATACACATATAGTATAGATTTTTTTTTCTAACTATTGCAGCTACACATGGAATTACACATTTAAATGAGCTTACAGCACAGGTGCTTCAGGAAAAATAATGGTGTTTGCCATTTATCTTTCAAATTAAATAATGTGTTTTTAAATAGTAACTTTTTTCATAATACACTTATGGGAACAACATTTATCTGTCACATTTTAAAAGATGTATTAGTAATAAATGTAAATTACCTTTGGAAAATCAGTAATTAGCCTCATCAAAAAATAAACAATCTGCCACCAAAAAGATAATCTTTAGCATAGTTAAGTATAATAACTGTTATTTGAATAAGTTAACAAATTAGGATAGATTGCTTCTGTAATTCATTCCCCATAGCATGAGACATGAAGTTAAAGCATCAAGCTTGTGAATGGGGGAAGGGAGCTCAGACTTTAGTGAAACCAAACCTACCAGCTCATATTTTCATTTTTGGTGTGTCAGAGATAAACTATATGTATTCCTGAACTTTACTACTGGGAATGATACAGTACATAGTTTCCATGGAAGTAATGCTATATGTACAAGTTAAGAACCAGTGTATCTTCCTACATATAAAAAGTGGGAATGTAGTGTGAAGGGCTTTATTCTCTTAAAATAATTTGTCAGCCCCTGGGCAAAAGTGGAAGCTATAGCATAACCCTATTATGTGGTTGTATCCAGATTCTACTTTATATTTTATTGCATTGTGGGGCATTTATTATTAAATCTATAGTCTATGTCCAATCTTAGACCTCACACAAACTGCATATTTTCATTTCCAATCTTATGGAAAAAAAAAAAAAAACAAAAAAACAAAACATCTGGCTACCATGCAAGTAACTATTAAGTTCTGAAGAGTGAGGTAAGTTTATGCAGTATTATGAGATCCTCAGAGCAAAAGTACTAATAAATTGAAAAGACATGTCAATTATCAGTGAAAGAATGAGAACAAGGATAAATTCACACTCACTACAGCAAGTATTCTTCCTCAAAATAATATTATAAAAATTAGTGAAAAAAATAAGAAAACTAGTAAAACAATAACTTGGAAGGCTTAGTTTGCATCAGTTTCAGTTAACAATCTCAGACTTTTGTCATCATCTCAATTTCCAAATAGAGACTTATATATATACATTATCAATTTAATTCTAGAATACATAGAATCATCTATGATTTTTGTAATTCATAGTTGATTTCCATTGCTTCTCCATTTGTTTGGATGTGTCCTAATTGGCAATTAACCTAACTGGCAATCAGCAGGTCATGATAGCCTATTTCAAAGCCATTCCTGACAAATCCTCTTTGCTATGATAGTTCCAAGATAATGCAGTAGTAAAATAGAGATGTGTTGAGATAGCAGAAAGCTGTAGACTATTGCTGGCATAACCTAAAGGTTAATGTGAATGTGGGAATGCTGGGTAAACCACCAATAAATTGAACACCCAAAGCTTAGAAATACAACAAAATAAAAAATGAGGAAGTTAGATCTCTAAGAGCAGCAAAAAAAATCTATTTTGTATAAATCAGATGAGATCCTCTGCTACAGCTTCCCTGTTTGCCATAGGAGAGTACTAATAATTTCCATGGGTGGTGATAAATAACAGCCTTTTCTCCTGCCAACATCTTGGAATCATAGCATAATTTAGGTTGGAAGGAAACTTGAACATCAACTGGTCCAACCTCCTGTTAAAAGGAAGGCTGTTTTCAAAGGTAGAAAAGATTATTCAGGGCCACATCCACTTGAATTTTGAAAATCTCCACCGGTGGAGATTCAAGAACTCATCAAGGAAACCTGTACCATGCTTAGACTTCTGTTTTATTGTGAATTCCCTTGCTACAGCTTCTGGCAACCAGTAGCATTTGGAATTAGATTGACATTTGGAGTTGCTGTTCTGCTGTGGTCTGCTAGAGGAGTGTTTCCAAAGACTTAGGGCATTCGATAGAGCTATGCTGGCTTTTGGGTCACCAAACTAGTAAGACTCAAAACAGCAGTGTTGCATGATAGGAACTGATTCAAAAGTTGCTTTGTAGATCCTCTTCCGCTATTAAATGTGCAGCTATTGTTCAACATTTATGTGAGGTCAGAAATTCCAGATCTGAACCACTTTCATGATGTTCTATATATCTGCTGTTTTGGAAACCTCAGCTTTGGCCTAATGCTATGTTGTAATAATTGTGTTCTTAATAATGGCTTACTGAATTAAAATCATGGTAAACTGACATCAGGAGATTACTTATTATCTCTTTATTCTCCAGTCTGCTTAGCCATTCGTCATGGTTTGCCTAGAAATATTGTAGAACTCCAACTCACTAGTCAAACAAACTAGTTCCTGTAAAACTGAAAGTTCAGCTTTATCAAGTGCTTTTCAACCCCTCCTAAGACCAGATGCCTGCAGAGAAAGGCATCAATAAGTAGGGATGGTTTCTGGTTCCCTCAGCTGAGGAGGGAAAGGAGGCTGATATCATGTTGGAAGAATTCCCAGGTTCTGCAAGATAGCAGACTTGTTCCAGAAGGGAGCAGCTCCAGTCAATGCAAAGCCAAAGGGCAAAAAGCAATTAGTATTCACTGCATTTGTTGACTAGTGGCATGTAAACTGGGATTATAGTGTAATCAAAACAAATGACATAGTATTATCATGAAACAGAAGCCCTGCCTGATGATTCATTGTACAAAAAAAAGTTTAAAAAAAAGGTAAAAAAAAAAAGGTAAAAAAAAGGTAAAAAAAAAAAAAGTGCAACTTGTAGAGTACATACCTGTTTTTAGAATAATCTATGTGCCTGGAGAGGGTTACATTCTATCTGTGCATATTTATATGTCTTTCCTTATGAAGTTTCAGGAGATTTTCTTCACAAGTAAGAGTTTTTCTGTTCTGATGTAAACCATCCTTTTTCTGAGAATGGCCAGGCTTTATCTGAAAATCTGTAGCTGAAGCCTCTTCAGAAGCAGTAACGCATCCTTTTTTCTCTTCTGTTCCAGGTGATTTTCCTGCACTACTCTTTTTAGTGCTAACCTCTGGGGACTTCTTTGCCAAACTTTCATTTTGTCCATCTGAAAACAGCAAATCATCATCAGCATCTTTTGAATTACTTGACGCACATTTTTTTTTAGTATTTGGAATATTTATATCATTGTCATCCCCACATAAAAAAGATAAATCCCTACCTTCAGAAGAAGTTTTGACCTCTAATGACTCTGGAGTCACTTCATCTAGTGACTCTGCAGATGTTTCAGAAATAGGGTTAGAAATAGGTTGCTGCTTCTCAACTTGTGCTTCAGAAGAACCATTAGAAATAGACTGCTGCTGCTGCTCAACCCGTTCTTCCTCAGGACAGGCTTCAAAGAAGCATTCAATATCTTCTCTCTCATCTGTGAAGTCCAGTGGCACAGGAGTGCTGCTCTTTTCCTCTATGTATTTGATTACCTCTCCACAGTCACTATCATGAGAAGAAAGTGAAAGATAAGAATAAAAGTCCCCTTTTCTTAGCTGGATGGGTCTGTGAGAGTGTTCTAGCACTTTTTCCTTGATCTGTGCTAATGAAGCTGGAGCAGATGACTCACATTCAGGTTGTGACTTACTTTTCAAAGCTGTTGATGCCATGTCTATTATCTCCCTCACAAAATTGTGTACTGAGCCATCTTCCGTGTTTTTTTTATCAAAATCAGCAGATTCACAGTTACAGCACAAATCAAAACCATTGGCTGATGAGTTGCATTTTGCTTCACTGGATTTCAAGGCTGCACAGCAATCAGGAAAATTTTCAGTAGCATTTATTCTGTGTTGTTGACCACTAGGTAAAGATGGCTGTAAAGCTGTATCTTGTATGCCTACAGAATTAATTTCTGAGGAACATTCAAGGCAAGGCTTTTTTGCAGGAGAGGAAGTAACAGAGTGATGATCAGGCTGAAGATGACTTTGACATTCTCTTGGAGGGTTCCTGGATCCAGCTGAGGATAGAACAGTCTCCTTGCCATCCATATGTGAATCATCTGAACTGTCTGTAAATGCTTCACAGACACCACATTCATTTTCAGCTTCTCTGACATCAAGTGATGCATGAGTTTTGGGGGTTGCTGCTACTCTAGCAAGACCTTCCTTTTCACTGCCAAGAGTATTTTCAACATTGCCATTCTCCATATCATCCACAAGCTGATCCTTCACAACCTGAGAGATGTCTTTCATTGGATGACTTTTTGTTCCTTTTTCACGATCACATGGTATATTCTTACTATTGCCATTATTTTCTGATATTTTCTGCACTGAACAATTCAACAGTGTTTCAATGCTTAATGTATCTGTGGCTTTTGATGTGTCATTACTAACTTCTTTACTGCGCTGAATTTCATCACTGAGGTTACTTTTTCTTTTTTCCCTTGTCAAGGAAAATTTTGGTCTAATCCAGGTTTGGAGCTCATTTTTTATATAATCAAGTCCTGAAATTAAATTGCAATCTTCATAAATATCCTCATCAGTTGCTATACTGGAGTCGTCATCTTCATCTTTGATACCTAGCTCTTCCTCAGTTAAAGTAAGGGTGGAACTTGAAAGCAAATCACTGTCATCTTCATCATCAGTACAAGCAGAAGTGCAGGAGACATTAACAATCATGCTGACATTGACATCACTCTCATCAGCTACAGATCTATTAAGATGTTTTCTAAATGATGCATTTGAATCTGGTATTTTATTTCTGTGTAGTACAATGTCTTCAGAACAGAGAGAAAGATCCTCACTGCTGCTGAGTTCAGTGAGAGAAGCTGCTGAATCTTCATTGATTGAAGATGCAATATCTAGAGATAGCTGTCCAGTAAAAGACATTTTTTGAGAGCTACTTTGGAGTGTTATATCAGAGATGCTGCGCTTTATTTTTTGATCTGAAGGACTCTGGATATTCTCCAAGCGATTCAAAAGATCTAATGTCCTTTTACTAAGCTCTCCAACAGAATCACTGCTTGCACTTATGTCTCCAGAGCCATGATGACTAAAAAGATCTTCATTGCTTTTGTAGGAAGTCAGCCAGCTCTCCAAAGAGGCACTTCGCTGAAGACCTTCTCCACTTTTAAAAATACCTGAGCTGAACAAATCACCTACTACTGACAGAGATTCTAAAGAAGAACTATGCGATAAAGTGGAAACCTGTCTTGTATTCTCTGTAACAGGTAATTTTTTTACAGTTTCTACAGATTTACAGGAATTGGGATCTGATTCTCCACAGATACTTGCCAGATTATGATCATGAATAAACCCATCTGGTTGTGACTCTCCAGACTTATGTTCTGATTTACCAGGTATTTTGTCAAAACAAAAGTCATGAAACAAACTACCCTCTGTATGTGTTTTTTCAATCTGTGATTGTTTCATTATCACTGGTAATTTGAATTTGGAGCCTTGAAGATATGAGTAATCATAAAATGTAAAGACATCATGTTTTTCTTGCAGTTCTTCTGGACAACCAGGGTTAGACATGGTAATGCTGTCCAAATCCTCATCATTTTCACTTCCACAGCATGCAGAAGGAGCCATTTGGAAATCATCTGAAAGACTAGTATGATCTTCTTCATCTTGCTTTAGTTTTGGTTTTATTACATTATCCACTTGGATTTCCACATGCCCAGTTTCAGGATTACTCTGACTGCTTTCAATATCATTTAGCAAAAAAATTTCTGAATTATTTGTAGTTTCTGTATCGCATTCACTCACTATCCCACTCTCACTCTCAGAATGCCTGCTTATGTTTCCACTCTGATAAATGCAGTTATATGGTTTTGCCAATGGGGTACCTCCTATTAGATCTGGCAAGGATTTGGTAGATGAAAACGATGAGTCTTTACTGAGACTTTTGTTTAAAATGTTAGACTGCATTACATTGGAGAGTCTGGATGTTTTTTTCAAAAAAGGTATATGTTTTTTTTCTGATAATTCAATATTATGAAGACTATAGACCTGATAGATGTGAGGATTTGGAGGGGAAGTAATGCTGGGACAATAAAGAGGAATTCCATGATTATTGATACTTTCATCCTCATTCACATCATTATCACCACATTCTTCTGAAGCAGGTTTCTGGTTTAGATCATCCTTGTTGAGCTCCTGATCAGGATCACTTAAGTCTTCATGAATACTGATGAGCTTATTACTTATGTCAGTTTCATCCCATTCTAGTGCATCCTCACTTGGACCATTTAGATCCATCAAACTGGGATCAATAACATTTAGAGGCTCCTGTAAAAGAAAAAGTCAAAGATTAAAAATATTTACAGCTGTACTTTAAATGTGCTCCCACTAAAATCATGTAAGTTAATGGAAGTAAAGTGCATTTTTGGAACAATGATCACTAATAGGCTTTTAATTTTGTTAAGCCTTGTGTGCTATTAAAATGATCAATTAAAAGGAAACCTATTGCATTTTGACAGATTTCTTAGACTTCTTTGTTTCTTCTTATTTGCTGTCAAAATATAATAGAGAAATTTGACTTTTCTTTAATATATACTAATTGTGGTTAGTAACTTTATATATAATAAGTTTTAACTTGGAATCACACAGGAGGGTGTTAGTGAAACACATGCAATTATGTTGGATATATGAAAATCTTTCTTAGCCTGCTTAAGTTTAAAACAGTTAAGATGTAAAGGATTTATGAAAATATTTTTGAAACATTTAGACCAAACATCTTTGTAGTCAGTCTTAAAACAATAGATCACAAGTCTTGATGCATTTTTGCTAGAATTTGTATTTATCCTTTACTTGATAATGAAGGCAGTACAAATGACCAGTAATACTAATGAATGTTGATATGTACAGCTGAAAGATCAAGTACTACATGAGTTTCAAATAATTTCTGCTCTGATACCTTTCTCTGAAAAGGGTCTGATAAATAAGTGTGAGAAACTTAATTTTCTTTTTAAAATATTTGTAACTTTCCAGTACTGTTTGTTATTATGACTCAGAACATATGATAACAAGAATTAATCATTCTAGAAACATGTGTGGAAGAGGAAGAACACTTTTCTCACTCAGATGTGATTTGTCAAGTGGCCAACAGTACCAAACCACTTTAAGCCCTTGAAAATAAGACTGAAATGGTCCCTGATTTGGGGGCTGAGCACAAATTAATTTCACTTTATTTTGCTATTTCCTCAGAGGCCTCCATATTAGAGAAAGCTTTGCTTTTAAAAGGAGTCTTGTAATAGAATTGTTGACTAATGTAGAATTGTTTAGTTTAAATCATCTGAACATCTGAACAGTGATCACTGTATCCAGAAACACAAACACTTATTCCAAGAAACCTTTCAACTCTGATCTCTTGCTTTCTCAATTTTCTTTGAGCAAGTGATGTTTTTAAAATACAGCATTGACATGATGCCAAACAGCCAGAGCAAATGCCAGCAAATATAAAGCAGATAAAATGAAGCTGTAGTCCAACGAAGTGCAGTTCTGCACAACTTAGTTACTGACTTAGACTCATCGAGACCCAGCCAAGGTTAATTGTGCAGGGAAAGGCATGTACTTCTGACTTCAATTCTCAGTTGGAAACTCTCTTTGAAGTAGGAACTAAAGCTTCACTGCCCTTTTGTGAGTTCAATAGTTAGGACACAGATTTTGGGCTGGGACACTTTGCCACACTGGGCATAAGAGATATGAACCAAGCTATCCTCTCAGGAGAAGCCCTACCTACATTGTTCTTAAAAGAAACTTTCTTGTCCCATGTAATTTTAAATAAAACAAATATTAATGTGGTCATAGGTGAGGAGAATTTTGTCCTGTAGTGCTGTGTTTGGCATGTTTAATCAGCAAGAGACACAGCTCCAGTGCCTGTTTAATTATGGATATATGTGGCATTGTTTCTGTGCAAGAAACAAAGCCATATCTTCCCAGTATGTCCAGTAAACAAGAGGCTAAAACAATCAATGGAAATCAGGTGGAATTATTTCCCCCAAGCTATCCACCATTCAATGGGGTGATGTGGTTATTAACTTATTTGATAAATAAAGATTCTCTCCATCTAAGATAAATCTGTGTCCTCGTGCTTCATTGGGCTCAGTTGTAATGTAGGTCCCTGAGTACTGCAGCTGTGTTAAGATGTCACATGTAATAATGGGCAGAACTGCAGGTGTGAAAGAATTTTTTCATTCTTGGCAGGTTAGGAGGCCTTCGGTATTTCCTGAATCTGTCATTACTAATGTTGAAGCTTTGAGTCTCTTTGTGGATCTAGCTACCCCAACGTTTTTATAGAGTACCTTTCCTAGAGTTCTTTTTTACCCCCCATGAGACATTGGCTAAAGAAAATTCCTGCAAAAACACCCATTTGCTAGACAGCTATGGCTATCAGAGCAGTTCTGTACATTGTGGAGTCCAGAAATCTTTATTTGGATTTGCCAGTTTGCCGTGTTTTAATAAAAGCTCCTGGTTTGTATTTAGTTGGTCTCAGTTTCCCAGCTGTAGCTGACCCTTAACTAACATTTAAGTAAAATGCAAGAAAATATAATTATTTGAAAACCCATTAGATTAAAAAAGAAATCAGATTCAATGGCTCATTTTCTCTGTGTCATGTTTTACGACACTGTCATACTCAGCATTAGGAAGACATTGCTGTGGGAAGTTTCCTAAACTGCTTGATTTTACTGTTTTAAGCTTCTGCCAGCTGCAAGAAGAAATTACTGAAGGCAGGAAATCAGCAGCAGGTTCCAAGAATTTTATGTTCCATAGAATCTGATTCTGTTTCAAAACAAAACATTTGGTCCTCATTGGTCAGGAAGATAACATTCCCTCTGTAAATCAGCACTTGGCTGCTTGTTTGTTCAGCAAGTCAGATGGACTAAAACAATAAAACATGTAGAGTTGTGACCTCAGCCCATTCATCTTCACTGAGTGCTCCTCACTTCAAAGCCTATTTTTTTATTCTCAAAGTGCACATGCTTTTCCGAGGCCTGGCATATACTCAGAAGTTTTGCAGGCTTAGCTTGATGGTAGGGGATTTAAAAAAAATTTTATTTCTTTTATTGAGTTTTGTTTTATTTTATTTTCTTTCTGATTGTTGTTTATATTTGCAAAGACTCTTATGTAGATATGGTCATTTTACTAATATAGCTTTCTCTCTCCAAGGAACTGACTAAATTGATATTAGTAAATTACTACTGTAGTTATAAACATCAAATTCCTTGAAGTACAACTTTAGTGGTTATCAGCTACATTGGCAGCCCTTCCAAAGTACAGGAAAAGTTTTAGCTTTGAAACAAACCACTCAGCTTAAGTAACACACATTTTGTATTTGGCAGTTTTAGCACAGGTATATATTTTCCCTATATTTTTTTACAAAATTTAGTAAACTGTTCAAAAAGGCAGAGATTGAGGTAGTTTTTGAAAGTGCCACATCATAGCCTCTGGAATAAATCTCTGGAGTGAAGAATGGAAGGTGGTGTCACTCCAGCCTACATTTCTACTGACAGCACTAGTGAGGTAAAAACCAAGGAATTTTTAGGAATCATTTTTATCATATCAGATATCTCTTTTTCAGGCTGCTCACTGCAAAGGTAGGATGCTGGATGATTAGAGTTATCATGTTAGTAATATATTATTAGGTCTTGCCAACAGAATGTTTAAAATTCACCAACCTTATCCTTTACTTGGTGTTATACAGAGGAGGGTACAAATGACAAATGTCAGATAGTGCCAGAGATAAATTCTGTTTGCTCAGTTTACTGGGAAAAATGGTATTGTTTCTTCTTCTGTCCATGTTTTTCATTTTAATGAACTGTATAGTATTGTACAATTCATCTTTTACACACTTTTACAAAGTAGATAAATCTTGTACTGCCATTGCCAATTTGGAAAGCTTTACTTGTGTAAGAGCTGCAGCATGTTTTTTTTTATTTTGCTTCAGTTAATTAAGAATATGTCTTTCCTAGAGAATTTGACTCTTTAGGAAGACTCCAAAGGAAGTTCTACCTTGCCTGGATGGATCAAGGTATCTGAGTGACTTGGCCCAGTGAAAAGAGTCTGTGTATTGCAGGGGGATTGGAACTAGATGATTTGGGTTCCCTTCTAAGCCAAACCATTCTCTGACTGTATGATTCTCTGATTCTATGATCCCTTCTTGAACTGCAAATACCCAAAAAGGAAGGGGTCTATCACAGACAGACCTGCTGATCTCCACATGTAAGACAGACTATATTTAAAGAGAGTCCTGGAGGGTGCTGCAGAACATCACATTTCAATGGAGTGAGCCCTGTATGCTGACTCTTAAGCCCTGGCTTTGCTGAAGTCTGTGGCAAAATGTTGCAAAGGTACCTGTGCTGTCTGGCAAAAACTTTTTGATTTTTTTTTTGGTCCTGTCTGGCAAAAACTTTTCAGATATAAGTTTGTGTGACTGATGGCACTAAATTTCTTCGAATTCAGAATTTTTTTTTTTATATATGTGAGTAAAAACATATATTTAATTTTTCTAAAAATGGGTAGTTTTAAAGTAGGTCTGAATGGTCTCTAACATTATAAAGTAATTAAACATGGGGAAACCAAAAGAGTAGAGATAAAGACTGGGTTTTTTTCTTCTCTCTGTACCTCTCCAAGAAATCCTGAGAGACAGAATTATGTCTTGCTGTCCAGAGAATGTGAATGTCACAACTAAATACCACTGCATTTAGAGAAGATCTCTAGGATCAGTAAGAAAAGTAAGAAACAGCAAATAGTTTTGACCAAGAAAGTAAAAAATTCTCAATGTAATTAGCATCAAAAGATGCACAATATTATGCATATGCCTGTTTTTTTGCATATTGCCACTAGATAAACAACACTTAGCAAGCATTTACTGTTGAATGAAAAGTTTTAAGTATGATAAAGTGAATAATCAATCAAATTATAGACTCAGAAGAGTGAAAGTTTAAATGAATTCTAATGTATTTAAAGGTGCTGCTTTAGGGATTTTAGCTATTCCTACTTTGAATCCAGAGCTATTTTGCTCAGGAAAGCATTCCCATTTCAGTGGGATAACTCTTGCGAGCACAAGTAGGTGTGTGCTTAAATCCTTGTAGAGTTGGTGTTTAATGGCTAACCAGTTAATCTGCAGAAAATGTTAATGGGAAGAAATAAGGTTATTAAGCCAAATAAAGACATTTCCTCAGCCCCAATGCTCTTCAAGGAAAAGTGTCAAAATGCAATTTTTATTTTTTTTAATTTTATTTTATTTTTTAACTAAAACAAGAATAGTTTAGCTTTTTTCTGAAGCAAATTATATTAAACAATGATTCTCTGTTTTGGCTTCATTTGCATGTGCTGCTCCAGTACAGATACTTTGTGTTGGTGAAACAGGCCTCTAATGTAACCCCTACGTACTATTATATTTTTTAAAGGAATTAACATGAAAAAAAGGGCTTTTACAATAATAAATACAAACTCTGTTCTTCCTCCCTCCCTGCAACATATCCTTCAGTTTTTGTGGGCAAATTATCCAAACTCAACTGCATTTAAGGGCCAGGGAAAAACAGAAAAAGGACAGAAAACCATCCCCCACCTCCAGGAATGTGTGCACATTCAAGGAAGACAAACATGATTTTGTCTTTTGAAAAATGTAAGCATGCCAAGTACTTCTGCTGAGGGAAATAGTTGTGTACAGTGCCACTTCACCTCTGCCTCACTTAAACTCATTTTCTAAATGGTGTTCCCTATATCACAGTCATCAGAAAACTTATCCCCATTTCCCAACAGCCAGTTTTAATATGCATAAGCATATGCATAATATTCCCTGTGCATAACACCAAAGTGGCCTACACATTAAAATATATTCTCAGAATATATGGAAGCAGCATGCTTTATTACAGAGCATGAAAGAAACATACATGAACATACATATTTATTACAATTGCAATTAAAAGCAAGCACACATTCCCTGAGAAAAGATCTAAATCTGTGGTAATCTCCTATTGCACTTTACAATTATTATTGCCTCTCTCAATGACGTTACATGCTTAATCCTGCACATGCAGAGTTTCTTCTTCTCTTTTAGGGGTCATGTATGCTTACAGGGAGTGCCAGGGTCCTACATGGGTGGTTGCATGCACAGATTCCTGTACCACAGGAAGGACACTTGACTTTGCCTCTGCCCATTGCAGTCACAGATGTCACCTGCATGGCTCTCACTAGGAGCTGGGAACAACAGAGACTCCACTTTTGCACAAGTCTCTGTGATGATCTTTGAAGTTCTCTGATAATGCTTAGAAATAACAGTTTAAAGGACTACTATTGTCATATCTAGGTTTAAAACCAGGTCATTTTCTTTATCATGGCAGCAGCTTTGTGGGCACATCTCCTAATCAACAGGTAAAATAACTGCTGTGGCATTTTAAGGGGATGCCCAGCTGAAAACTATTAACTCCTACTAGTAGCAGAAGTATTTTAAGTCGGGGAAATTGTCCATTCTCTAAGCATTCTTCTGCTATTTTTATGTCACTTGATGCTAGGTAAAATTCTGGGGTCAGATGTGCCTGCATATGGGTCTTATGAGGGTATTCTAACTCCCTTGGTAAGCTGCCTGCAATGTCAGATGGACAAAAGAGTGAAAGGCTCCAGCCTCTCCATCAGACTCCACTCACACCTCACACTGGAGTGTACAAGCCAGGCTGAAACAGAAGGTGAGCCACATCAGCAGAAGGCCTGCAGGAACTAACTTTGATCACAGATCAAGGCAAAAGCAGGGACTCAACAAGTTCAGTCCTTGCTCTGTGTCCAAAGGATCATTGTTCATGACCTGCCCATTATCTGTTTTCCATCTTCTACAGAAGCATTTACCTCTTTTTTTTTTTTTTTTTTTTTTTTTTTTTGGCCACAATATCCTTTCTAACATCTATGTTTTTTATTTGCTAAAGAATCCCTTTAGATGTTACTAGAAAGAAGAACATCTATAACATTTTTATATTGAATAATATTGTCATCCAAATAGGTTTACAATCCCAGACCTATATCCCAAATTGTGTATTTGGGCTTTTTTTTTGTGATGAGAAAACCTGGCTACATGACATATTTTACCAACTGTTGTTTTTACTGCTTTGTAGCTTTCTTTTCATCTGTCAAGAGGTTACATGACAGGATTTTTTGCCCTTGAATGTCATTTCATATCTCACCTTTACTTCAGAGAAATATATGTTTTTCTTTGTTCAAGAATCCATCACAAGCCCTTTATGAAACTCTCAGAAAAACATTCCTGGCTTTATCTAAAACCAAAATGTTTCCATGCACACATGGGTCAAAAAAGAGCAAATCCTGGCACTATTCCTCAGATACATGCCCATGCAAGTTGGTGGGAGTTCATCCATGCAAAGTCTCAGATTTTGACCCAAATGGCTTCTTTACAGTTAAGACTAGCAAATATCCAGAAAAAACAGGGAATTTCTGGAACATCATATTAATGCCAAATCAATTGCATTCCAGATTTAGATGCTCATAAACAAATTTGTACCAACAAAGCAAAGTGGCATAATAAAATCACCATTGTTATCTATAGTAAAAATGTGGTGGACCTCAGATTCAGGAAGAAATGATGCTGTTTGGTTCCAGGTCAGAAGGCTGAAGGATAGCTTTATTAAAGCTGTACTATATTACATTAATATACTATTTAAAGAGATACTATACTATTTTATATACCTACTTCTTACTACTTACCTATCTAACAAACTCGTGACTCTGCTGAGAGTCTGAGATTCAGTTGGATCCGATTGGTCATTGAACCCAAACAACCTTCACCAGAATACCAATCAAGCAATCACTTCAGGTAAACAATCTCCATACCACATTCCACATGGGGAAAACAAAGGAGCAAAGATAAAGATTGTTTTATCTTCTTCTCTCTGTGTTTCTCCAAGAAATCCTGAGAGACAGAATTATGTCTCTCTGTCCAGAGAATGTGAATGTCACAGCTTTCTCTTAGCTTTCTCTAGTTAAGAGGTCAGCATATTGTTAATAATAGTTTTAATTTAGTATCATTTACATTGGAACTGGTACTCCTCTACCAGTGTACTCTCAGTTAAACCAGAACATCTCAGTGGATGCTATGAGACTCAGTAGATGCAATAGCCACCAGCAGGCACATCAGGACACCGAAATCATGGCTTTTTAAAGAACTTTGTTTCAGCAGAAATGAGGGTTTCTGAAAAAACTTTGAAGAGTGAGAATCACCATAGAAACATAGACAGATATAAGGTACAAAAGAGCAGGACATAAACTCTTGGGAACCTGACCTTAGGAGAAACCTAAGAAAAAAGTTTTCTCGTGAAGAGCTTGAGTAGAGAGACTTGAATTTCTAAATAAAAAATTCTTCCAGTATACTGGAAAGGGAGACTTTATCTATTATTTATGAATAACAGGACTGCATGAAAAATATCCATCCCTATCATCAGTTTCTTCTTCTGAATCAGTTGAGAGACCACCAAATTCACATTATCAATGAGAATGGACTCCCTGTTTCCCTTATTTAAATTTTCAATGCAATTTCTCTGCAATTTCAGTTCTGGTATTTCCTGAAGCAATTGATTCACCATCTGTAAATTTTAGATATCAGCTTGAGGGGAGACAATAAGCAAGTATTGTTAAGTTAAAGTCTAGAAGAATACTGCATATTACAAGTACTTGCACAGTCTGCCCACCTATGGATTTCCAAGTGCTAAGTTAAACACCACAGTTGTCAGTAAGTGGCAGGGAGTTCTGGCAATGAATCAAAATTACAATGGTAAGCACTTTGAGGCTACAACAGCACAATTGCTCCTTACCATTACACAGACTATGTCTAAGAAAAGCTGCTCTTCAAATGCTGCGATATAGAAACACTGGCCTAATCTCCAAATATAAGCAGTTCCTAGGTAGGCAGAGCTCTTTCACTAAGATCATCTCATCTTTGAACTTCCAGATTATTTTCTTTTCTCCTTCTCTGGTAAGTGATGTTTATACCTCTCTTTATACACAATAGATGTCAACACAGCTCTGGAGCTGGCTGGAAAAAATGGATTGGAATTTCCAGTCTAAGCTAGTACATTGAATAGGTCCTGTGCAGTGTCTCAAGTGCACAGTTTGGTTTGGTCACTTGCAAAATGATTTAATATAAGCATACTTTGTAGAAATTCACTTGGAAGAAGCCAAAGTAGTGGACAACTATATCTTGCTATTGTAAGGGGTTTATACATGTCTGCCTTAGTCTGACAGAGTAAAAAATTACAATAGGGAGTAACTCACTGTTACAAAATCACTATGTTGCCATTATTCAACTTCCGTCTCTTACAGTTGAGTTTATTTTAAGTGTTACATAGCTTAAACTTGGGCTCAAATCAAAACATAAGTTGAAGATTTCAGTCTCTCCACAATGACTATTTTCAGTGCTGGTGAGGCCCAAAAGTCCAATGAATACTAAGAGTTTACAAAGCAATAACTGAAGGGTACAGGGCTATTAGTATTAATGTTATCAGTAGAAGTGTTGTTAATATGCAGTATAGAGCTCTAAGTCTTTCAGCTGCAGCTGCTCAGGTTTTTACTGAAGCAGTATGTTTGACAGGTACTTTTTGTGTAGTGCTTAGGAATTTTGGAACAGTTGATGGTATTTTGTTTCACATTGAAACAATATTTCACCCCGTTTAAAAATCAAAATGGAATTTTAGAATAAAGTGTCTTTCTGAATTGTTCAGTAAACCAGTAAACCTGCTGAATGAGCTGTGACTCCATAAAGTTTAGGAAGTCATTTATTATGTTTGTAGATCAGACACTGCATTTATTCACAAAGTGAATCTCTCAAACTTAGCTTTCATTAGAGCTGCGGGGAGGCCCAGTCCTTCTCACTTTGCTTGAGAAGGTGAAGCTCAAGAAGATAATTAACAATGAAACAATGAGGAGGCTTGCTGGGTAACCACTAGTGTGAAAACAGTTACTCCTCACAAAGGAGGGGAAATTAGCAGGCTGGATAAAAAGGGAAGTGTCAGACAAGACTGAAAGGATTGCAAGTGTAAGTAGATAGCTCTCGCATCATTAATGCAATTTTTTAACATTTAAACATCACTGGTTTCTAAATTTAAATGCACTTATCTGCTATGTGTTAGGAGTATTAATATGCCATTTAAAAATAATTTTTCTTAAACTTTCCATTTTCACATTTCACACTTTTAGTCATCCTTCCCACACAGGAAAAAAGTCACTGCCTCTAAGTATTGTATTCTTGTTTACAAAGTCGATGTAAACAGAGTGTTCTGAAAAGATTCTGTTTTCTCATTGTATTTTACAAACTCATTATTTTACATTAATACAGATATTTTTTATGAACAGAGTTTCTTTTGATTATACTGTTTCACAGAGTAAAGACTTATGATATATCTTTCCTTTCAAAACTTCCTTTGACTTGAACAGTTTTCCCTGCAGCAGCCACATTTTTGGCAGAAATTCAGTTGTATGCTATGCCAAAAGACATAGAATAAACAAACACTGTTTAATGCAGCTGGCTAGGTAATTTACATGTTACTGCACACACCAAACACGAAGACCTGGATATGGATTACAGCTACAACAATGACATAAGCATCTTATATATAAGGAGAAATGAAACTCGGATCATCACTGCTCATTATTTACATTTTATTATTTAATGTGTATTATAGTATTACTATAGTACCTCTGGTATAAATGTATGTGCATATTTAAATACTAAGTAGATGTATTTGTTATCATTTGTGTATGTTTTATAGAAAAACTATGCTAGAAATGTCTTGGTAAACTATTAAGTGGGTACATTTTTGAAAATTTTCTTCTGGTGAAAGCACACTACCTAAATGGCCACATTACAGCTTTCGGAAATAGCAAAAACCCCTCCAAATAAAATAAAAACTCTAGACATTTTGTTTAACTTCTTCACTGTACATATAGCATAGGCCTCCAAATCTACAAGTTCATGTGCTTTCAAACAGCAACAGTCATTTTAGGTGAGATCAACAGTCCATTCAGCTGAGTCCATATCCTGCAGTGGTTGGTAATGAATGTTTATGGAAAAGTTAGAAAACCCTCAAACACATAGAAGGGTATAGAAGTTGCCCTCCCAAATTTGAGAAGACAGCCTGTGGGGACTTTCAGAGTTGGAACTTAATAAGCATTAATTGATGTCCTCTCCATTGATTTGTCTGATTACTTAGTGAAGCCATTTGTATTTTTGCTATCCTCCACATCCTGTAGGAACAAATTTCATTTTTATTATTCACACCATGAAAATAGAATTCCCTTTTGATAGTTTTAAATCTCCTGCCTGATAATTTTATTTGGTACCTTTTCCTATCTGTATTAAGAAAAAAGAGTAAATAATTGTACCTTAGTTATTTTAATTTCTTTTTAAAATTGTTTTTAATTATATTCCTGTGTGCTTAGCACTGATGTAGCTCCTAGAATATCCTTTAACAGTGAACAATGAGATATTGACTATGCATATACTTCCTGAAGATCCTGCAAATATATTTCCATAGTGGCATAAGTATTGTGGCCCTATCATCCAATATGGAAGGCCCTTGTAAGATGAAAAAACTGCAGTGCAAATTGTCAGAAAATAAGGTTTCTTCTTTTTCTAAAAACTTTTTTATTTGAGAACTCTTGGAAAAAAAACATCTGAAGATTAGCCTCAATTACACTCATATACTGTTCCTTGCAAAACTGCATTCATAAGATTTGCAGAGAATAAGTCATGAAGTTAACTAAAAAAATCACAAGTTTGTGACTTTCATATTTCCCTTAACTGTAATTTTTAAAACAATCCTGGACTGAGTCATAGACTTACAATTAGTGGATATTAGGTATCTAAATAAAACACTGACTTCATCCTGTAATTTGAACACAACGCATTGCAATGAGAGTCAGTGTCTGCTGAGCACTATTAAATATCTGACCCCATACTTAAATGCCTAAATAGGAAGTGAATTCTTTTGAAGACCTCTGTCCTTGAAAATTAAAACCTAACCATTTTAGCTTTTATTTTTTAATAAGGTATTTTTGCTGTTTAAGTGGTGTCTGACAGTTCTCTCAGCATCGGTGTGCTTTGGAAACAACATATTTCCAATTTCTGAATATTACTTATTTTCCCACTAAAATTGATTATTCCTGATAATTTGTCTGGTTTGGCTGGAGTTATGAGTTTGAACTTCCCATCATTTTACAAAGCTGTGGCAAAACATGACATCTGCCAGAGTGAGGGAAATGGTGGAATAATATAGCAGATTGGTGAAATGCAGGTAGTATTTCACCCTTGGATTGTTACCTTACACTTTTAGTTGTGACAGAAAGATTTGTAGTCTCTGAGGATGGAGTAGAGCCCTCTGTTGAAAGACTTAAATATATTTCTTTTTTTTCTTTCTATTCACTCTAAAAACCTACCGTTGCAGGTGACCACTCAGGAGACTCTCTCAAGAATATAACACAACATTTATCTGAATTTTGACTAACGTTGACTGGGTCTGGAATTTTTTTGCTATGATCTGCTCAACAACAAGGGTTTTCCCAGCTTTGTTTTATCAGATCATCCAGAGTCTGTGCACTCATAACTATGGCTGGTCCTCAAGAAAATTACTAGAAACACAAGAATGCAAGAATGTGGGATGTATTGCCTATCTTCAATTAAGTTCAAGAAAAATCTAGACCTAGGATCAGCATCTGCGTAACTATATTTTAGATCCTATGGATAATTGTTTCATGTTACAAATCAGACACAATGCAACCCAGAAGCTCAAAAACTTACACACTTCAAATATGAGGGTGGTGCATTATATTTCAAACTCTAAAATCAAATATTCATTAACTTAAAAATTAAATATTTTAAGGAAGCACCAAAGTGAGCAAATGCATCTAATCAAGATGGTACTGTCATAGACTATATGAAAGATGTCCAATACAAAAACAAAAACATAAGTCATTAAATAATTTGTAATGGCTAGATCATGTAAAAGGTGTTAAGCACTTTACAAGATGTAGTGTGCCCTTCTCATCCAATTAAGTTAATCATCTCTCAGTACTTTTCTGTGCTAGACACTCCTGATGAAATTCTTATGTAAGATTTTGAGCTAGGACTCACAAAATGATGGCTTGTGATTAAATAAGAAACTTTTAGAATCCAAGTATTTTTTAGTGAACCTATCTAGCAAATAACTGAACAATGACAGAGTCATTTTTTGCCCCTGAAACAAGGAGGTTTGTTTGTCTTTTTTAAGCTTAGAACAAGTGTCATTCTATGGGTTGAAAAAATATTGCATCAGTGAAGTAAATGTAGAGAAGTGGAGACACCATGCCTACCATTATGAAAAACTGTTTACTTTCCCAGAAAGCATCACATAAACAGATAAATAGAGTAAGAGAATAAAGATACCAAATCAGAAGCAATACTTTAACAATTTGTTTTTCCAAATGCATTATAAAGAAGGAAACCAGGAGGTTGTCGGGTAAAAATCCTGAAAAACCATTTAAGCAGGCTCTTTACTGCCTAAGAAACAATCTTGTAGAAAGAAGTGCCTTTCTTTTTTACTCTTTTTCTTTTTTTTTCAAGTGAGCTGTCTCACCATTGCAGATTTTCCCAAGTCCTTGCAACTCTAATTAAAATGTGGTAATTGGTTATGTTACCTCAATTACCATGATGCATGGACATTGATACAAAGCGACACCAATTGAATCCCTTGGGTGTTATACCCCAAGGCCATCCCATTTATTGTGGCCTTATTATTTTCAATTATGTGGTTGGTTGTACAGCATACTTTCAAGCCAATACAGATGAAGGTTCCACTGGACTTTCAGTGTAATGTACACACAAGATGACTCAGAAGAAGAGAAATATTTTTTTTTTCACGAGGTGTAGTAGTGAACTTGGTGATCAGACAAATTAATATTTCAGACATTTTCAGGACAATGTGAGAATTAGGGCACCTTAACCCAAATCGCCTTAGCTCAAAATCTCCATTTTAAATGCATGAGTAATACTGTCCCTTCAATAATTAGCCTTCCCCGTTGAATAAGAAAAGAGATTGTCTGCTCCATAAAACAGGTATGTTTCTCATTCAATGAATGAGCATTCTGGATAAAAAGCAGCTTCTCCACTCACCAAAAAGGGAGGAATTGCAGCTAAAGTAAAATCCATTAGAAACCACAGGGTTTTTTTCTCTTTCTCCCTGTCCCAAAAAAGTGAATTTCCATGGTCATCTCATTGTAGCTTTCTATACAGAGACATACCTGATCTGGACAAGACATCCACGAATTGGAATCCTCTCTAGCAGCTGAAATAATCCATTGAGGTTAAACACATAATTTGCCATGGGTATACCACTGTCTGAGCAAAAAAGTTTTAAAAAAGTTGCAGAAAACAATGTACGTATTCACATTTTGATTTAATTTATGGGCATGACTATGACTGAATCTGTCCCAAAACCATTTTTTAATTTTTCAGTCTATAGCTTCTAAAGGAAAGTGCATAGTGAGTTAAAGCTTCTCCAGCTGTTGAGTAGGAATTTTAGATGGCAATTTTGAGTTTAGTTAAATGAAGATTGTTGCTATTGCAATTGCCAGGCAGTATTCTTTTTCCTTTAAGACGATTGCTAGCAGGGTCTTGTTAGACAAGCTATAAGGCATCTGTATAATCCTGAAGTTAAAATTAAGGTGATATATAACATTATATCAGCAAAATATGGAATGATAAATCTGGATGAAAAAAATTTACTAGGAAAAAAACAAATCAAAACAAAACTAAACAATAAAAAATTAAAAAACCAAACACAACATCAAAACAAACAGATGGGGGAGATAAAAACCTCTTTTGCTAAAACAAATTAGGACTGCTTCCAGTTTTCTGAGTTTTTTTCATTTTATGAATACCTCATTCTATATAGCTAGATTGACCTACTGAATCTAATCCTATTTCATCTTTATGGAGCTTTTTTCTTTTAATCTTATTGATAATTTCACATTCTACATAGAACTTTTTGTTTATGAACTTTTACCTGACTGTAGGCGCATGAAGTACAGGTCAATAACTTGCTATTTGTAAACTTATGGTGTCCACTATTGCAAAAGTTGAGCAAAACTAAAAACTGCTGAAGACCAGTCCAAAATGAATGAAGACAATTCAAAAGAAAGATAAAAGTTTTCTGTGGTTAATACAGCATACCTTTGTAATATTCTAAGTGGCCCAGATAAGTGACTGAATGTAAAAAGGGGCAGAAAGGGGACAAAGGAAAATCCCAGTACACAATTAGAAAACAGTAGAAGATGAAAGTGACTCTTGCACTGAGGCTATACAATCATCTGGGGTATCTTATTTACTGTCAGCAAGTCAGATGCCATGAATGAGTCAGACACCATCAGGCTATAAAAACATCTCATTTGTTTTCATAAATTACAGTATTTTGTGGGCAACCACAAAGACAGACTTGTTACCAAGGGATACAGTTTGTGTGCCAAGATTGGCACACCATCAAATACAGAGATATGGTAGCAGAAGAAATGGTTCTGGTATCTACCCAAGAAATACTGAGGAACTGAATGAAAAGGAAGGTTAGAACATGCCAACTCAGGCAAGGAAAGTCAAAGAAACATGAATCCTGCAGTCGCTGGAGCATATTTAAATGTTAAGAATATGGATAGTTTTATCAGGAAGAGAAACTTGTAGACACTGACATACTTAAAAGAAGCATGGTTATAAAGCAGCCTGAGATAAGAGGTTCCAAAACAAAGCAGTCCACAGTGAAAATTAGATGAGCATCATGAGCAGCCATCTAAATAGCTGCTATTTCTTAGCAGAAATAATGATACACCCTTCAACCAGTGAAAGTCATGTCAGCCCAGCAAATAACTCCAGATCACCTCAGGCAAAGTGGGAACAAAGCAGTGGGTACCTTGTGAAGTTCCAAGCCTCCAGATACCAAGTGAGATTCTGTACTCATATCCTCACCGTGCCTCAACTCCTGATAGATTACAATCCCAAACAGAAACACAAGACTCCACTCCTGCTGCAAGAGCAGCACCAAGCTCGAATTAGCTTGTAACAGTTTATTTAGAGCACCTGCTTCAATACAGCCACTGCTCACACACAAGAGAGGATAATATGCATTCATTATAGTAGCTTGGACCTCTGTCAGCACTCTCTAACATATCTCACAAATGCAATTTCTTTCTATTCCAAGTTAAATAGGAGATATATGTTTGCTAAAAAAAAAAAAACCAAACAAACCTGCTGATTTGTGGTACTTTACCTTTAAGATAACACAGTTGGAATGCAGTTCACTCACTCTTGGGCTGTTACAGACCCAACAATACGCAGCCTCTAACAAAAAAAAATCAGGATTTTGAGAGCTGTTTTTTGGTTTGGATGTTGCCTAAATACTGCACATAATTATTTTTGAAGCTCCAAAGTTCAGCTCTTCTTCTGCTGCTGGTAAGATCATTAAATATTTCGTGTAGCACTAACCAAATTTATTAGAGCTATTGCTACAACACATTAGTAATATGACAAAAATATTCCTAAGATGGAACTATCACAAAAATATAACCAGCGTTTCTCAAGAAAAAACCTCTGCTACTATATTTTCTTTCTTTATAAATATTTTCTATTCCTCAGCCTTATGTTTATCTTCTAACCCATTCACTTGCCCAGCCTATTTAATTGATGAATTCTTTTACTTCTGTTCTCATTTTTTGCTCTCCCAGACTCATTACCGTCAAAACTCTCTGCAACTGTTGAGATGGCATTAGTCTTTCACTTTTAACTTTCCTCTCAATTAAATGTATTGTTTCAAACTCCTACCTACAATTTCCATAAAGCTTCTTTCTGGATCCTCACTAATTCTGGTTCTTCCTTTAATTCCACTGAAATTTCTGTAATATTTTCTCACAGTCTCAATTGTCTTCACTTTTTATATGGCCAGTTGACTTTATATGGCCATGCTTACAAAACCAACACTAACACTACCTCTGCTTTTCAGGGATGAGTTCTTTCCATGCTGCCTCATACAGAGACCATTTTGACTTGTCCTAACCATCTGTTCAAACCTCTTCCTTCATCAAGTCCCATTTCTATATCAATACCTAAAGAAAAAGAGCCAATAAAACAAACTAGCAGAGGAGTATTCCTATGTTCTAAGTTTTGAAAAAGGCAGACAAGCAACATTATTGTCACCTTCACCAGTTCACTTGTCCATAGCATCCTTCTCACTAACTCACCATTTCTTGGACTGTTTAGACTAATAGCATTTTCACTCAGGCAGGAACTGCTACAGATTCTAAACATGCCTAATGTATACGGTATGACCCTAACTGAACCAGAGAAAAGAAACTTTAAAAAAAAGAAGTCAAATGTAGTATTTCACTGTTAGTCAGATAATTGCTAAGAAGGATGTGTCTAGATTTTTTTCCTTTGCTTTGCTTGCTATAAACCTAAAAAACTATATGACTTATTCCCAAATCTCACCAAGACTCTTCAGTATATCAACTACATAGGAGCTACATATATTGCTGTCAGTGTAGCTGCAGTATACAGACTTCAGCAGTGTGATAGTTGCACAAAACATGCTGAGCCAATTCATCCGTTACAGTCAATGGTGTTACAGTAGGGATTATTTTATTCCCTCTGCTTTTTAATATAGTTTTATGCTGTAGAAAACCAATCTAATTCATGCCACTTAATGGATGGTTTAAGCAGAGTGCTATTTTGCCTCTTAGGAATCATTTCCTTGAGATAAAAGCAAATTACTACATTTTACTTATATTCAAATAACAGAGGATTGTATATTAATCACATATCCATGGCATTCTATGTGAAATACATATCTACTGCTGGGATGCTGATTAAAACCAGTCTTAGTTACACAGGAAATTATTTTTCTAAAATACACTTACAATCAGTGAAATATGTCTCTGGGCCCAGTTCTGATAGTAGTGAACAACTTAGCACTAGGAGAGGATTGGTTTTTTTTACTGGGTGGGATCAGATATGATGAGACTAAATATCCAGAAAGTACAATATGTATGTGTGATTTTATATTATTAAACAATGTTGTCCATACAATACTGTGTGAAAAAACTGAAGATTCACTTGTAGACAGTAAAGACTAAGAATAGCATCTTTGTCAGAAAAAAACACTCAGAGATGGGTATGTTTTTCTTGTGCTGAAAAGTGTTTCTTGTGAAGAATGAAATCACACAAGACCTTTTTAAAGCAAGCATCACTCACCGAGTCTTTTTCCGATCGCTTCTGTAGCCTGGTTTGCCAGTGGACAGCTTGCATGACAATGGCTTCCCACCTTCTCTCAAGGTTCACAATTATCAACTGCATGGACTGGTGATCTGCATTTAGGTTGCAGGTCTCCTGATCATCCAGGAGGTGCTGGCATAATCGCAGCACAGAGGCTACCCCACGGCGCCTCTGCTTGATCTCAGAGCATAGAGACTGAAGGACAGACAAACAACAGATGTCAGCATGGAATAATTTGCAAACTAAAACATTAAATTTTATCTGGTATTTAGTGGTGCCCAATCACTGTCTTGCAATATTTTTTCCAGGTCTTCCATAAATTCCTGTGCTTCTGTCAAAGCTTAGTGTTTTATTTTCAGATAAATACAGTTCTAACCTTAATAGCACAGACAGACTAACACTACGTTCAGTCTTATTCAAACAAATGCCATACATAGCTAACTGTCCCTATAATGCTGAAAGTTTTATGGTGTAGACTCGTTTATTCTTCCTTTCCTTTTCATTCAACTGGGCCACATCTGAAATTAGTTACCCTGACAGTAATCAGCTTCAGAAATTCTACAGAAAATAAGAGGGAAAAATTGTAGTCATGCAATGAGAATTTGTATATTTTTAGAAAAAACAATAGAAATTATGGATTTTATGTGCCCTGTCACAGGAGAAACATTACAGAAGGAGAAAATTCAGTATAAAATTGTTTACAGATGTTTTTTGTTATCATAAAATATTTTCAGGGTAGTTCCATATTCAAGTAAATGTAGGAAAACTGTGACAATTGTATCATCCCTGAAAAGGAGTTATTCACTGCGTTTATTTCATATACTGATTCAGTCTGACGTAAACTGGACGATGGGAGACAATTGCTAAGCCCTAATATCCTGGCTTGATGGGAGCCAGGATATGTTGGTTCTCCACAAACCCCTAAGAAACTGTGCTGAGAATCTTGTTGAGAAGCAGAATAAATAATGTATCCTACATGCCAGAACTAGAGTGAGGTCTACCACCTGGAAGCAGTTAATGGCATGAGGTGCTTCCAAGCATGATTTTATCCATGATTATACTCTACTGTCACTGACCAGCAAACCAGGATTTTTTTAACTCAGAACAAATTTTAATAATAACATCTATGAAGGTGGGGTACAGAAGGCAGAAATTCACATGAGGATGACTGCTTCAGCCCAGGTTCTGAGATCCTTTACTTTTATAACATTGCACAGCTCAAGTACTCAATAATTATTATATGGCTGTGCTACTCCTGAATTTAACAGGACTGTGCTCTACACATGGGAGCTTTCCAGATAATTTAAATTGTAACTTGCTAACATCTGTTTCCCTCTGTGGGACACCACAGATGAAAGTCCATGACTCCATGAGAAAATTTGAACTATCACCTTTTTTGAAGACAGGGTGTTTGCCTCTAAACATCCAATTCATAATAAGAAGGAAGCAAAAAAAAAGCCACTACATCTTTCAAAGCTGTTCAGAAGTGTTAACTGATAAAAAACCAAGATCATCTTTCTTAATTTTATTAGCAAAACAAAAACATTCTATAGAAAAGTGAATTCCAGTTCCAGATTTTGTCACTGTTTCTTTAAAAATTGAAATTTATAATTAGAAATGTCATAACTCAAAGGAGTATTTTGCTGCTGTTCTTGATCAATAATATTAAGCTGAAAGTGTAAACCAAAAGGTTGCTATATACATCTAAAAACATGTATCTTTTCTTTGCATAGGGATAGTGTGCAGAAGATGGATTTATTTTAAACCCTTCAAGAGAAATAATGATTAAACTCACAAACATAGCTGAATTACTAATCTACTTTCACTAGCACAATTGGGCCATCCTAACAGATTGCTTATTAATCAACAAGGGTAAACAAGGCAATGCAATCTCATTTAAAGCTGAAGTTTTAATGCCTAAAAGTATTTGTGTTCAAAATGTTATTCCCGATAAGCCTTCATTAGAAGACATCTTAAAATGATTAAGTACATTTCATTGTAAAGTACACTTAGTATAGTAGCAGGTGGACATTTCATACAGATGTTCCACTTATTGATATAATGCATTCTATAGCTATTTAAATTACCCTAACTCTATAATAGCTAGAATTCTATTACTTCTGTAATGAGAGAACCCTGTACCTTTAATATTTCTGAATTTTAAATAAGGTGAATGACAAATTCCCAAACCACTATTTATGGCAAAATATGACCAGGAATTTTATTATTCAATTTATACCAGAGCTGCATTTTCACTCGCGTTTCCTGAACTTGCCCTTATTTATTTTCCTAGAGTTCATTACTAGTTTCCTTCGTGGTTCTTGATGTAACCACCATGTCTGACACATTTCCTTTCTGATGCTGTTCATTAGCTTAATGTCAGATCAGGAAAAATACCAGCCAACCAAATGGGACCAAAAAGTCTATCTAAAGTCAGGGTTCTTATTTTACATTTTATAACAGCTAAGCAATTCAGGTTTTTTTGGAAGTGATGGTAAGTTATACACTGATCACAGCCAAATTTATGTAGGTCTGCATTAACTTCATAGAAGTCAATATAGCTCAGAATCTGGCCCCGTAGCATTAATTTACCTTGATCTATCTGATTAAGTCATCCCTTATAAATATTGGTCTTTTCTGATACAATGCCTTTTAACATGATGAGGTAAGGAGAATTGCATTCATAAGCCATTATAAGGAACTTTAAGTGAGGCCTTTACATTGTGTTATCTGAAAGCAGAGCTACAGCATCCAAGTCATTTCTAATTTATATCAATTTTACACCAGCATAATAACAGTAGCTTTACTGAAGCTATTTCTGATTTACATGGCTATGACAGTACAATTAGGCCTATGGCACTTTTGTTTCAATTTTATTACATGATATTATGGTTAATATTAAACAGGAGAAGAATGAAGTGCTTGTATCTAACAGTGTATTGAAATAGTTGGCTATAGACACAATACTTTAAAACCCAGAGAACTTAATCATGTAAAGACATCTTTAAGTCCTATATAATAGCACTAGCAATAATGACTTTAAGAAGTATTAGGATCTAGTGTTCAGTGTCCTAAAGGGACACAATAATTGCCTATAGCTCATGACATGATATATACACTGGTATTGTATATCCATCCAGGTTTTGCTATTGTTAAAATGGCATCCTTGTATAAAAACCTGTCAATACAGTAATTGCACATGCAAAGTATACTTCCAGATTGACAGTTACTTTAATTAATTATTTGCTTCTGCATTCCACATTGTGAATGTAGAAGCTATAATTCATGTTTGATAAAAGTAAATTAATTTAAAAAATTGATGAAAAAGGAAATATGATGAGGATCTCTCTTGAGCCTAGGGCCTTATGGTTTACAGCTGCTATAGTAAGCTCCTGGGCACTTGAAGGTTCAGAAAATTAGGATGTGATCTAACTGCACACTGAGTTGCATCACTTAGGCTCACTTAGTCTTCTGTGTGTGCAGAAGATTTGCTGAAGTGTATATTAAGAGATAAAACACTTAAAATTTTGTCCCCTCATACTATCATGTGTCCATTGAGCTGTGGTAAAAGTGAAAACAATCCAAATCTTTGCAAATGTGGGAGAAACATATTCACTTAAGCCATTTGCAGTGAGACTTAAATAAATGTATTTGACTTTTTTTGTTGCATGCTAAGAGTATACACAGTAACTGCAACTGCTGTGTATGAAGTTGACTTTGTGTCTGAGTCATTTGCTTCATAACAGATAGCCTGATATCATAGAGGTGTTAGTCATTAGAATGTTTTTATGGTCACGGTTTCCCAAACTGAGGATTCCTGTCCATGCTGCTAGAATCTTGGAAGGCTTTACTTCCCCCTGCCTACTCCTATTCTCAGTGCTTTGAAGTTATCACGCGCATAGCTGAAAAGGGCTACCTGAAACTACTTTCACAGCTTGTTAATACCATGACTTAAATCATCTGGAAAAGCCCCTGCTGAGTCAAATGACATCAAACACTCCTTCCAAGTCAAGGGCTCATGGCACTATCTAAGGGGATGGAAGTGGTCATGAACTGAACAGAAGGCATAGAAAGGTGGGAAGTCCAGGAATGTTATAGCTCCTCAAGCCCCAGTGAGGCTCCATCCCTCAGCCTTTCTGCAGCATATCAGCACCTGAGCTGTGCTGCACCATCTGCTCTGCATGACAGAAAGACCTGTATGGGAAGTAGCTTTCTCACACAAGGTGCAAGATGAGTAGGCCACTAAAACATGTTACATCAAGAATCTTGACCAGGTGTTTATATTAACTATTTAAGACTTTTGATGAATTTGGTAGGACTAATTATGCTTAAGAGTAGTTAAAAAGTCATTGTAAAACTAGTTGAGTTGCCTTAAATCCACATAATCTACACATTCATCACATAGATTATTGAGATTTTTTATAGCCTCATTTATAACATATTGTTTGGAGAATTAATTTTTATAGAATCTGAAGTTTCTTGTTTTCACTCTACAACTAGACTAAATGTTCATGTAGAGATGGCCAGAGTTTTGAAAATAGCTGGACAATGACAACAGTAATTTAGAAAGATGGATTTTCTTTGTGCTTTCAGGTCCAGAAGAAATGCCAGGGTATACTGAGATAAGTACTTGTGCTGGGCTTCTGTGTATGCATGGGCAACACAGGCTGTTTTTAGGAACACAAAAGAAATTCAGCTGCTGATAAATGACCAGATCTAAGAGGAAGTGTCTGTCTAACCTTGGTCTGTTAAAGGCTTAGTCTTCCTCCTTATTGCATAATGTGGATATGTCAGGGAGGGAATGATACACTTCTGATTGCACCAGTTGTTCTTTGATGGGAGATGGATCTGTTGTTCTTTAGTACAACAATCACACACAGAAATTAAGGCAGGATCTGAGAATGGAAGTCATCCTTCTGTGAACACCAATCAAACCACACCTCTTAGAATTTATTTGCCTTCTTATGCTTGATTTTTGGCTAGGGCAGCATTAGCCCTTTAAAAAGTCATCATGTAAAATTTTTAAGTATCACAACTAACAGAAATAATACATCAATAAAAAGAAACAAGAAACAAGAAAACAGGAAGACAGGGAAAATAAAAGAGGAAATGATTGCAAAGACTGTATAAAATGTAGTTTTCAGTGTTATCTGTGAAATGGCAATGCCTGTTAGAACTTCTCAGGGTAATGCATA